GATCATTCTAACACGAGTTCGAATAATCGCGCCAAACACAGTGCGGCGAGCATTAAACGTTTATTAGCGCCTGCAAGACTTTGGGAAAACTTCGCGCATTGCGCCAATCGGTGCGCTCGGCGTAATAGCGCCTACAAGACTGCAAGAATACTTCTCGCATTGCGCCAAACAGTCGGTTAGTTGGCGTGAGACGCATAACTAGCGCCCAAAAGACTGTGAGAATGCTGTAGGACTGCGTATCATCATTTTTGACTTTCTGACTCAGTTTTTATAATAAGTAAAGGGAAAATATATGTATATCCTCATTGTGAAGCTTCAGAAACTTGGATGATATTAAATTTTTATACGAAAATATCGCGTCGACATTCGATACTTTTAATTGATATCACTTAGGCAAAGTCGCGGAAACAAAGGGCATACCCCTTAGTTCTCACTAACATTCGGTTACATTTTTTTTGATCAAATAGAGCCGAATGAAAAGTTAAGTAGACTCTTCTATCCATTTTCATAGTACCACTTGGACGCAGAAAGTTAGACGAGAAGTTGAAATAGATGCTCTGTTAAAGTTTTCATCCAACTTACACGATTTTTCCCTCAATCCAATCTCGTACGAAAACATTTGGTTCAAATGTCTTAAAGCGTTTGTAAAAGTCGAAAAACAGCCTAGGCATTCTGTCAGTGTTTCTGATTAATAGATTATCTATTATTCCACTCATCGGTCGAACAATCCGTAAAATTCCTAGCCGAAGATAGTCCAGCCAGGTCATACTAACGTTTTAGACTTAAAGCATGAAATTTTTAAAAAAAATTAGTAATTTTTGTTTTATTCAATTTTATTTTAGTATAATATACTTTTAACCATAGCGTGTTCTTTGCATTGAAAGAGGAAGTAAAAATTACACAAAATTGAGTCAAGCTTTACAGTGCCAATAGGAGGGGCTTCAATAATGTCTCTCAGGATGGCTTTTTTGGTGAAGAGAAAATGACCCTGTAAAAATTTGCTCTCAAACGAGTGCCAAGAAGAGTTGAAGATAAAAAATATGTCATTTTTTGCGTTAAATCTAATAAAGCAAGTAATTCGTAGACAAAAGAAATAAGTCCTTTAGTCAGGAAATTGCATTGAAGTCAAATTCGTGAACTAAAGATACCTAAATTGAGTTGGACCTTTGGCTAGCATCAGTATCATCACCCTGCCAATGCTGTGAAGGCTAGTTTGACCGTCAAGAAGGCACAATATCTTGAATCGTGTGTTTATACAGCATCAATTGAGAGGATTTGTGGCTTCCAAAAGTAAATAGACAGACGAATGAACAATGATCCGTTCTAGAATTGAATCGATTCTAATCGCGAAAATTCGGCTAATGAAGGAGGGAACAAAGTTGCATTGTTTACGAACTGCCACTTTGGGTTAGGCGGGGGCTTAGTCAGGTACTCCATCTGGGCGGTTTCAATTCCAGCCGATTTCTGCTCCAGCCGGCATAAATTATCATCTCTCTTTTTCGACCCGCGCTGTCGGGTCGAGCTTCGAGCAGGAGCATTAAAGTTCGCGTGGCTCCACGTTGAAATTCCGAGGATATTCCGTGCGATTTGGGCGCACCACAACCGCGCCCCCAATACACGCCTTTCCTGGAAAACGATTCGTCAGAGCTTCATCTGTTTCCGGACCCGATCCCATCGAAGATACTCAGAATCGGACCAGAGGCTGCATCGTAATATATGCGCTTTGATAAATGGCGTGCAGTTTCATATGAATCTCTTACTTTCACTCCCGGCTAATGACGTCATCGGCAGCAGGGAAAACGGAAGTTTTACTGCCCTGTTGTAATGGAGCACAGCGCAGGGTGATCCAGAGTTAAACGGCCAGACTGCAGGAGTATGTTTTATGGGTCAAAATAAGACTTTTTTGTTTTATAAAGTTTTTCCAAAAGTGCTCCCAGTCGGAGATACGGCCCCTCGTAATTTCGGAGAGTAAATCGTTTTTCCTGAATTTTGGCAACGGTTGTCTACCAAATCTCATGAAGATTTGTATTCCCCTGTACTTTTATGACCTAAATTCATAAGTGATCTAAAAATAATCGAAATCTCAATTGGAAGAAAGGGTTTGGGGGTGACACGGCTCCTGCGGTCTGGCCATTTAACATTATCATATTATTCCCAACGTAGGGATGAGGGACTTGGAAGACAAGGCGCATAAGTGCAGTTTTTTTTAAAAAACTGAGATATCCACGAACTCAACTAATTGTAAAACTATGACAGTATACTCTGTTAAAAATTAACAACTGAAATTCAACTTTGAAGCATCGAAAAGCGATGTTAAACTTCTTTTCGCCTCAAGGCTCCATGTAATTTTGAAAATTTGAACCCGTATTTATTGAAAAAGCAAAAACTGCATTTGTGCGCCTTGTCCTCCAAGCCCCTCAAATATTGTTCTACGCCCTATCTTTTTTACACTGACCGTAGCAGTGGCGTGGCGTGAATGATCGATTATCGATATTTCCTCATTTTTAGCTATGGTAAAGAATAGATTATTAAGGTGTTCGCTGCGAACACCCTGTTTATCGATCCTTTTCCACAGGTTTAATTGGCAGATTAATCGATATATCGCAAATCACGCCACGCCACTGGACCGTACTAGAGTCCTTTTATACTGAGAGTCAAGACAACACCCCCTCATGGAGTCACAAACGGGAATAAAGATTACAGAAATCGAACGTTTTTCGTAATCTTTGATCGGCCCATTCTCAAATTCCTTTCTCCGTTCCTTCTCTCATTCCGTTTGTTCCTTGCCGAACCCGTAATTCCCTGGTCCATTCCAGATTATAATCTTTGCAATCGGCGAAACTGTAATCTCTATTCCCGTTTGTGACACTATGAAGGCCTAAAATACGGGACCCAATCAGAAATGGATTCACATTGTCTTGACTCACAGTATAAAGGGACTCTAACTGGACCGTACTTACTGTACTTTTCTCCGCCCCCCCTCCCGCTTTCCTTCCGATTTCTCCCTCTTCTTTTGACCCGAACTTGTATGACCCTCATTGATTCTAAGTTTAGAGCGGGGTCCTGGTCAGTCGGGCGGTATCCGGAGCGTCGGAGGAGCGGCTTCAAAGTGGCAGCAGCGTCCTCCATTTCCGCACGCGTTAACAGCTCCAGCCGGGAGGCGCGAGCAAGGATTCCACGAATAAAATATCCCCTGATACGAATTTCCACTCGGTTGGCTTTTGTGCTCACAGGAGCACCGGGGCGTCTGGGGCGCCGGGCGCTTGCGACCCCATTTCCAGCTTCGTTGTCAACGGAGCTAAAACTGCAAAGGATTCCCAGCTCTTCACCCGGACGTAATTGTTGCATGAAATCCGAAAGGGAAGCTTAGTGTTTCGGATACGATATCTCAATATTTACACTCCTCAGTAGGTGGATCGCGAGAGACGCTCCGAAGTCAACGTCTCGTCTTATACCAACTCAGTTGAGTCGTCTTCATTAAATACAGGGTATTTCTCGGGGTTACATACAACGAAAAGCGTCAAGCATTATCTTGCGCTCTGCTACCTCAACTCAGTCGAATCGTCTTCATTACATACAGGGTGTATCTGGGTGTATCGTGGTGTAATCTCGGGGTTGCATACAACGAAAAGCGTGAAGCTTTGTCTTGCGCTCTGCTACCTCAACTCAGTCGAATCGTCTCCATTACACATAGGGTATTTCTCGGGGTTACATACAACGAAAAGCGTCAAGCATTATCTTGCGCTCTGCTACCTCAACTCAGTCGAATCGTCTTCATTACATACAGGGTGTTTCTCGGGGTTGCATACAACGAAAAGCGTGAAGCTTTGTCTTGCGCTCTGCTACCTCAACTCAGTCGAATCGTCTTCATTACACATAGGGTATTTCTCGGGGTTACATACAACGGACAGCGTCAAGCATTGTCTTGCGCTCTGCTACCTAATTCTGACAGGGTGTCGGTGTCCTGCACTACTCTGCCATGCTATGGAAGAACGCCGTATGAACATTCAAGAGTTGTCAAATTTCTTTCGATGAAAAGCTTATTTATGATGAAAATTGTGAGTATTTTTCCTTGAGATTTTCACGGACTTCGCGTGAAATTGCGAGCAGGGCCGTATTTACCTACTTGCCGCCCCTTTCTCATTCGTTTTGAAACATCACTGAAAACCATCAAATGAACGTGCTAGCGGGGGACAGGTGTATAAGACGCGTTTACTGGTGTTGAACACATTTCTTGGGAAAGCCCTGTCAACACTACTAGCAAAAGTTCACGGAACTTTGCGCGAAAGTTAAGTTTCGTAAACCTATCTCTGTGTGGACAAGGCCTTCCATTCATAAGAAATGAACGAAAAAATTATGAAAGAACAAATATAAATGTGGATTAATGATTTTAACTTCCGCCGCCGCACCTCGCAGACCGCACTGTGTTTGACGCAATGCGTGAAGTATTCACGCAGTCTTGTAGGCGCTATCCGTTTCACGCTGTCCACAATGACCGCACAGTGTTTAATGCAATGCGTGAAGTATTCGTGCAGTCTTGTAGGCGCTAATATGTGTTACATGCCGATCGCCGCGCCGAGGGCTTCTCCTTTTCATCTCAAGTCCTCGTCATCATTGCTCTCCGCGCCGCGCCGTTCCAGGCCAAATTGCGTGTTTGGTTTCTCTCTTAACTCGACTACTTAAAGGTGCTGTCTCTTGTATCACTGAAAGACGGCAAAAGTCGAAATTACTGCACTCTCAGAAAATTAGAGATTTTGTCGCCTCTTTTCGTTTGTAATTTTTTTTTCTAAATCCGAATTTTTTCATACCTACATTTAAAAAAATTGCAAAATTATTTTATTTATTTTGCAAACATAATTTTGCTAGTATTTCCTCCTCAATGTGCATATTTACCGAAATGCATTTTATTTGTTATATGTGATTATTTTGTACTTGTTATCACTCTGTTTATGTACTTCCAGTGCAAATAAATATTCATGATTTATCTACGTGTGTTTCAGGTACAAGGATGGAAAGCCTTATCCATGGCGTAGGGATGTCTCGAACATGATATTATACCCAGAATCAGCCAATCAAACCGTGTACACGCACGCAGTGACGGCGAGGGATGCCGGGAATTATACTTGTATCGTCCGCAACGATTCCAGTTCCATATCTCACACTATTCACTTATCCACATTCGGTAAGTCAAACACACGATTGCATCTTGCATAGTTAACAAGCAAGCGTATTGAAAGCGCACCCTAGTAACCGTATTATAGGTCACTACGATTGTGCGATGCGGATTAGTACTGAAAAAGTATGTAAATTCCACGAGAAAGTTCGGAATTTTTCGCCGCATACCACTTGTGTCTTATAAAACAGCCTGGAGAGTATGCAATCCCTTGCGCATTGCTTCTTAGTGCAGTATTTGCCAGCTGGATTGCGATTGTGCTGTTGTTCTCTCTCCACCATCAATAAGCTGCGAATTTTGTGGCTAGCTACGGCATTTATATTGCGATTTGCGCGCTAATCGAATTTCTGCAAATTTCGTCACACAACGGCACTGGAAAAAAGCTGAATCTTCCTGTCGAGGAGGTCCCGAATCTCTTGGGGCAGTACCGAAAAAGTGCTGTCAAAGGACTGGTTTTTTGCCGGTCAGTTTAAATAGACACCCTGGGTACGTGAATCTAAGGCTTTGTCTCCACAGGACGTTTCATGGGATTCTCAGGGAAAAATCTCACTTGCGAAGTCGGGAAAAATATTGAGCTAGTCAAAACTAATCATAGTACAAATTAAGAGGTGGAGTCCCAGAAACGACTTAAAAAGAAGAAGAAGAAGAAGAAATTTTGTTGCGTTTTCTAACGGGAAAAAAGCCCAGAAGTTTCATTCCTGCAATTCGAACTTGGGAAAAATCCCATGAAACATCCCGTGGAGCGTTAAGAAAAAAGACAGCAGCCATGAAAAATTTGTTTGGAACATGATTTAGTTTTTCTTCACGTGTAAGAGTGCCCGAATTCCCGTTCTCAGTCGAATTTTGCCGAATGAGCGCTCATGCCCGCTATTCCAGGAATCCTGTTGGGCGGTTTTCACGCGTTTTCTTAATGGATAATGACCCAGTCATTGTGCGGGAAACGGAGCGACGAAGACACCGGGACCGGGGGACATCGATGACAAACCAGAACCGAGCGGGAGCACCACGTTCGCCGATGGGCCATGGGCCACGGGCATGGCATGGGCCACCTGGGCCGGCGGGGGCGCGGGGGGCGGAGAGGGGCCTGGCCCCTGCCCGGAGCCAATGAACTCCCAAACTGAAACTTCGCAAGGTCACTGCGCCTAATGCCTAATATCATAACGTGATAGAGCCGCGCGCCGGCCTAGCATTCATCAATCAAAAAAGTACATAAGAGAAAAAAGGAAGAGGAAGAAGAATTGCAGGCCACGCCGCGCCGTGCTGCCACGATGCGCAGCTAGAGACGCCAGAACTTGAGGATCCGACCATTTTCACGGCTCAAGTCGAAAAATACGTAGCTCGATCGCAGCGTTTCAAAATATCCGATCATACTCTATATTTTTAAAATGTAACAAACAAAAATGTATCGTTGAAACTTTCTGTGAATATGTTTGAATGAAATGTGGGAGGAATTTGCAGATTCCGACATTAACTGTTGGTCTTTTTTTCTTCGAGAAACAGGAAACATCAGCGGAGATTTGCAGCGTTTAACGCAGTCTAACGCAGAGTCGCGCATGTAACTAATTCCAGTAGTTTTCCAAAGCTATACTTTCCAAATACAGCGGATCAGAGGAAGAAGGAAAGTCGCGTGAAATCTAACTCGGTTAAAGGGTCAGTCCGACAGTCGCGAAATCAAGTTTTTGAGATTCAATCATGTACATCCGAATACAGTTATCTCATCCGTCCTGTAACGCCAAGTTTCCTCCCGCGGTATTGATGGAAATGAAGTTCTTTGAAAAAATTGTTGGATAACGTTTTTTCATGCTCAGTGCGCATTCTGCTTTAATTCTTTGCGACATAAGCGGATCCAGCAAATTGGTAACATTGTTTTTTCTCCATTCAAAGCTATGAGAATGTATCGATTCTTGAAGGGGCTAGGTGTTCTGACAAGAATCGATTATTTGAAAAAGGTTTAAATGGAGGAAATCCTGCTGTGCCAAATTGCTGGATCCGCCCGCCCCCGGCGCGTCCATATTACCAAATCCTATTATATTTATTAAATATTTACAATGATATATTTCGTTGAATATTTCGTTTCAAGTGCATTTACTGATGGACGTCAGGTGGAATAAACTCTGCATCAATGCGGTGGCGCGTGAACTGAAACTTTGAGGGGTACGAAATTTGGAAAAATTAAAAGGAGGTTTCTTTCCATCAGGGGGCCCGGGAGTTCTCCGGAAAAATTTTAAAAAGTAGGCACTCATTAAATGGTATTCTACTGAACTTATTATTTCATTCTAAATGCCCAGTAGTATTAGTCCTGCGTTGACTTTAGTATTTTTTGAGACTGGGAAGTTGCAATGAACCGATTCTAATTAAGCAGTGTGCATATTGTTGCACTCCAGCTCCAATTTCGCATTTTTTAGTTGGTCTTAAAAGATCCAATTACTCTCCAAGTTCAAAATATCACGGACTTTCAGCACATGATGAGGACTTTGGTATAAAGGCTTGCTCTGTCAGGCATGTGCTCTTACTCTATTGCACTGACATTAGGCGATGCAGACGGTAGAGTATTGAAATTTCTCTTAGTTTAACTCTGGTTTGCAAGGATTTTCCTTCAAAAGATGCGTTTGAAACAATAGTCCGAAATTGAATGTCAGGAATTTTATTTTGATTTAATTTGATAGCAAAGGCTTAGATAATCCAATTTTGAGCAATAAGACTTTCACGTTCAAAAAACTTGCTAGAAAGTGCCGTACGTCTGAGAAAAAGAGACCAATCTGTTGAAAAAGCAGTCAAACTTTGTACCGCTGTAACTATGGTTGGTTGGTAGGTACGTTTATTTGGTGCTTTTAACATCTGAGCCATTGACACCTTAGAGGAGAGATCAAAATAGTGTAGTACAGCATTTAAAAAATTTAAAAAGTAGGGTCACAAAAGGGTAGTACTCAAAATTAAAAGATAGGACAAGGAAATAATACATTGCTGCTCATGAGGATATGCTGAGGGACTCTTTCCTAGCCAGTTCATATGTATATTGCTTGCATGGGAACTGATCCACGTGTTTTGGTGGGAAACTATTGAGGCTAAGAGGAATTTTAATCTGAATTAATTACAGTCGAGTGTTTTTTCTCATGCCACCAAGCCAAAATTGAGAAGAGGACACTTTGAAGCTCCTTTCTTTTCAATTCGATCTATTTGTCTTTGATTAGTTTGCCGTCAACGCATTGAAGCTTATTCCTGATCAACCAGGCTGACTCCGCATGAAACTTGGCCCAAACGGTCGAACCTCGAACTTTTGCGAAAATCGTTCGACGAATCAGATTTAAATCAGTCAAAATAAGTTCGATGAAACTGCGCAGTTCGACGAAATGTTTGACCGTCTGGGCTAGGTCAGGCCCACAGTGCTTAAGTGCACGCACTTATTTTCGGCTAAAGTCAATCAATCCTCGTCTTTCAATGTCCGATCTCAAGGAGGGGTCAATATTTGTGATGGCATTTCGTCTTCATTTCAAGAGCCCACCAGACGTCTTTATAATGATGCTTTTCGGGAGATTTTTACGAATCGATCGTGCCCGGCCTAGCGTCAGACTCGGACAGAGATGAATAATCAGATTTTCGAGGGTCTCAGTTACGTGGGCTCCACGTGGCGTGACCTCTTACAGATCGTGATGGAAATTGGTGAAGCTTTTTTTCATCTCTATTTTTCTCCACTCGTGATGATTTAGCTGCCATATTCGGTCAACAGGGTTGCCAGACGCGCGCATGACCCCGCCCATTCCTCGTTGTTCGGACGGGAGGAATCGGTTATTTTTACGACCATCCGACACGTTTAACGGTCGAGCATTTTCTGCGGCTCAACTTCGGGACCACAATGACGACGTGGTCCACTGCAGCCATTATCTCATTAGAGATAGCGCTTCGCTGTGGCTTAGGGGTATTGTCAGAAGAGCCTTTTGGCTGCCAGGAAGATTATGACGGGGGCATTCGAACACCTGCCTCCTCTCTCCTCTCCCATCCTTCCTGGGCACTCCGCCTCTCTCATACTCATTAGGAAATTAATAGTCCAGCTGCGAATTTTTTTTTTAAGGAGGCATTGTTGTCGGAGTGTGTCTTTTTTCGGCTGTCAAATCTAGAAGGTGGAACTCAACCGGGGTCTCTCAAGGAAAATTGGACCTAAAATGAATCAGCGAGAGCGAAAACACACCAACCCAAAAAAATGAAATTATAAACGCGCTCATTAATGCACAGTAGGTGAAGAAGTTTGTAAAGGAAAAAGATTTTTGGTGCCGAAAGACATGTGCTTGACACTTAGAAGGTCCAAAACAGATGCGTTAACTTCAATGACTTACCCAAAAATTGAATGCCTTTAATGAAAACTGAACATTTTCGAGTTATCGAGTTAATGTGTTTTCGTTCTCGCCGATTCAAATTCGGATCTCACATTGAAACCAAAATGAGTATCCATTGAATACGATATTATACAACTCTGAAGCTGCGAGATATGCCTTTGCACACTTATAAAGCCAATATTTTGGACGGTCGCACAGTGGATCGAGTTAATAGAAGAGGTCGGACAAAATTTGGAGACTTTATAACTTCGTTTATACACATCGTTGAGGCTTTAAAAGTGGATCCATTGGTTCCCTTGTGAAATTTTCCTCGTAAAGCACCCCTTCAAATTTAAAATGTGACGAAATGAACATCAAAATTTGCAGTTATAGTAAAAAATATCATGTCCGACCTCTATGATTGACTTGATCCACTGTGCGTTGTCGAGTGCATGGGATTGGAAAAAAACAGGCCCTAAATCCTATGCAATTATGCATATGTTTACTAAGCTCCAGATATCCGCGCACCAAATGTACACAATACAGATTGTAAGTGTATTTAAAGTTTGCACTCTGGCTAGAGAGACAGAGATCAGTTCTTATTGAATACCAAAGTTTTTTGGTCCTAAACCGATAGATAATTCCTTAACCTATTGATAACCTGAGATTCGCCTTCAATTTCACTCCATAGGCAACAAACATATCGAGGAACGCGAATAGTTATCTACATGGGAGACACTTATATATCTTGTTCCATAAACCGTGATGAAGGCAATAAAGATTTGCGTCAACCTGTTGCTGTTGGTATCTCGCTAACTTGGTTCGCCTTCAATTTTGCCGCATAGGCAAACAGTCGTACACGCGCCGCCACTTTTTGAATATTGGCAATTTAGCATGGAGAGTCCTTCAGGACCTGGCACCACGCGTATATCGCTGATTTTTTTCATTTTTTCAAAGTGAAGGGAGCTTTTCCCCTCTCTTGAAGCCTTGAGGGTGCGTTGATCAATTTTATCATCACAGTTTTGATTCTCGGGGTCCCTTCACTTCTTTTAGATCCTATTTAAATTTTTCAATACTGTAAGTTTGATCTTCAGTTGCTTTGGAGGTCTTTGAGGTCCCATTAATACCACTGAATGTTTAATTTGTGAGCCCTCAGAGTCCTTTTCAAATCAGCGAGCGAGCGAGCCCTGCTTTATTCGTGGCATTATAAGACTAATAATCCACTCACATTATTTCTCACTCGTTCAAACCAGTTCGCCTTCAATATCTCGGTTGGCAATGTGAGCGACTTGGGAGCAGCAATAGTTGCTTGCAACAGTTTTGCCTTCTATGCTTACTGATATCAAGCATTGCATCAGTGGACTAATTAGGTATGTTCACGTCAGAATTACAACTAGGTAGTAAATTTTTCTCCTTGTTAATTTGTTCCAGATAAGACGGGGTATGTTGACGCACCGTTACCGACGTACCAATTGGCCAATGAGCAATACGCCAAGGTTGGCTCCACCGTGAGATTGTTTTGCGAGGCTTTCGTAGGTGAGCAAGAATTTTTAAACTCTTATGATCGTATGATGAGACAGGTCGACAATGCATGTACTACAAAATACAATACATACAATTTCGCCGGCACTAACATGGAATGTAATTCAAGTGATCGTTCTATAACTAGGGTTGAGGAGATTTTTGCTGTGCCCTTGCTCACAGTTTATTTTATTTTAAACTCTTGCTATGCTTGTTGCCTAACTTACTAGAGGTGGACAAGTAGGTCTCTTATATTGTTCGTTTATATATTTTTTTATTATCTTTTTTTAACCGAAGAATTTATTAATTTTTACTCTTATAATAAAATAAAAGTTAGAGTATTCTTATTTATCTCTCTATTTTTGTTTATTTTATTTATTAATATTTTAGGTTTGGTCCCCTACGTTTTTTCTTGTTCTTCTTATTTCTCAATGACGTTTGATTGTCTCAGGTCATATTGATCTTCCTGACGCAAAAAATCAAGTGGAATGGATTCGGCTCGGCGAAAATCAAACACTCGAAGGGAACGAACGATTTTCTCAAAAGCAAATTTCCAGGTGAGATCACTATTCATACCTCCTATCCAAAAAATATTATGATGGGTAAGCAAATGAAAGGTTTCCACTAACCGAGATTAATTAGTTATGGTTCTTTAAATTGTGGAAGTATCAAAGTTTGACGTATTATACAGGTATGGTATTTAACGAAGGAAGTGACATATAGTTACACGTTTCCTGTATAATCCACGTTACGTTTTGCAACGAAAATATGGATATGAAGTGGCACTTTAAGTACCTACCGTAAAATGACTAAGTTTTTACATAATGGAGTCTAGAACATGCCGATTTTAAACAAAAAATAAAATGAGTTCCATGTTTCAAGAGGACCGAGAATCAGCAATGCAAAGATGAATGTAACTTATTTCAACTTTTACGATTAAGAGGAGCTCTTTCAATTATTAGACAGGCAACATGCACAACACTCTAATGCAGTAGCTATAATTCAACGAAGAGCTGCAACATCAGGACCGGATTTAGGCGGTGGCCATATGGGGCCAAATTTAGGCCCTGGTAAAAATGGCAAGTGTTAGGTCAGTGAATTTTCCACTGAGGTCAGTGCAATTTGCTCTGAGGTCAGTTCAGTTTTCTCTGACGTAAGTGTTAAAGCACTTACCCAAGAAGTCAGCACTGAGGTAAGAGGCACTGACGTCGGGAGAAAGACTTACCTAAGTGCAGAGATGTCTCTGAGGTAAGCGGGACTGAGGTCAGGACTTGGTTCAGAGGGTAAGTCTCTGACATCAATCTTAATCGAACCGCACTCACTCCCAAAAAGTAGAGATGGCTCCCCCTTCCCCCACCCTATTTCATTTTCGTGGGGGAATATTTCCTCGGGACACGGGGACCACAAACTTTATCTTTCAGAGAGGCATATTTTGTAGAAGGTGGGATTTTCTAAGAGGGAAGGAAAACTAGTTTAAGTAGCCACACTCTTGAATAATCTGTTTTACCCTCTTCGTTTAAGATGGCACTTAAATAATTAAAACACAACAAAAAATGAGATCGATAAAAATATTATCACCGCTAAAATATGTATTTAGATATATTTATTTAAGCATTATTATTTTTTTATAAAAAAAATAGTTTGAAATTTGGTTTTAATTTTTTTCAGTTTTAACTGTTTTTAAAATGTTTCAGTCTCATTTTTTTTTAAAATTTTCCTACTTTATTTTCAATTCTTTTCTATCTTTTTGACTCCTTTACTTTCAATTTTTGTATCTGCTAATTTATATTTTTTGTATAATTTCAACTTTCATTATTTTTTTTGCATCATTAGCTTTAATTTTGAATTTTAGTGCGATCCATTTTTTTTTTCAAAGAAACGTAACTTACAAAACTTCATTTACATGTTGATTGATTAAAAAAGAATAATAGAAAAATTAAGTATCGGATTCACATTCAAAGACAAAATCATCATTTGCTGGCAAAATTACCCCAATGGGGGCCCTGAAATGGTAAAATTACGCCCCTAACACGTTCACGCGCAGGTAGTGTAGTGGTTCAATCGCTAGGACGATCTCCGAAGTTAAGTTACGTCGGGCGTAGTTAGTACTTAGATTGGAGACCGCATGGGAACGAGCGATGTCCCCTGAAGATTGTGATACTTGCTTGGGGTTGAAAACTCACAGCAGCCCTCCCTGATCGTCAAATAGTGACTTAACGTACCTGGCAGATCGGTAATTAACGAAATTTTTGCCTGTACAGTATTTCTGGGAGTTTCCACTCCGCTTACGTCTGAG